GTGGTGGGGGGGGGGGCCATTGTTACATATTCGTCTGAGGTTGCACATGACAGACGCTCGAGGTTACTTTAATTTCACTTATATAACAAAACACTTCGAAGGATACATTTCCTGTTTTGAAATATTATAAATCCCATAAATTGTTCCTCTTTCCTGTTTTTTGAAATCTTCCCGGAGTTTGTTTCTCTTTGAAAGAATATTTGTATCGTTGTCAGAAGGATCAATAATAGTAGTGGGAGCAGGGATGGGTTTTGTAGCGTTGAATAATTGAGCTTGCGAGGCTGTATTGATTTAGTGATCTTATAAAACAGTATTGCTTTATCAATATCATGAAAACAGTATTGATCTCATGAAACAGTATTGCTTTATCAATATCATGAAAACAGTATTGATCTCATGAAACAGTATTGCTTTATCAATATCATGAAAACAGTATTGATCTCATGAAACAGTATTGCTTTATCAATATCATGAAAACAGTATTGATCTATTGATCTCATAAACCAATATTGATTTATTCATCTCATGAAATCAGTATTGATTTATTGATTTCATAAAACAGTATTGATTGATCTTATAAAATAATATTGATTTATCAATCTCATGAAACAGTATTCATTTTTCGATATCATGATAACAGTATTGATCTATTGATCTCATAAAACAATATGGATTTATCAAGTTCATGAAAGCAGTATGGATTTATCGATCTCATAAAACAATATGGATTTACTAATCTCATGAAGGCAGTATTGATTCATCGATCTAAAAAAAACTATTGATTTATCGATATGAAAGCAGTATTGATTTATCGATCTCATAAAACAGTTTTGATTTATCAATACCATGAAATGAGTATTAATGTCATAAAACAATATTGATTTATCGATCTCAAAAAACAGTATTGACTTATTGATCTTGTGAAACAATGTTGATTTATTAATCTCATAAAACAATATTGATTTATCGATATCATCAAACAGTATTGATTTATGAATCTCATGATCTCATTGATCTATCGTGCTTACATGTGTTTCCCCCCGACCCCTCCCCCCCAGCACTGTACAAGATGAGTAAGACATACAGTATAAAGCCTGTAACAATTATCACTTGACATCTTCAAGCACGATACACTGGGACCCAGAATCTTGTGTGTACACAGCCTTATGTTCCAGTAAATCAGTGCAAAGGTTCCAGCATAATGGGCTGTAACCGATAGCAACTGTTGGATTTCGGTACAGTGTCATAGTCAAATCGTGAAAGATAAAGAGGCCGAGTAGTCGAAAATGGTCAGATAATGAATTGTGTGAATGTTCATTTCAATGATGATGTGCAGATGGACTGAGTAGAGATGGATTTGCTTTGCACATGATTGGATGATAGATGTGAATCTTCACCAAATCGATTGTGTGAACGTTCTCAAGTCCTTTAAGTAAATCAGCCTCTTTTCTGACCTATTGCAGGCAGTTAGTCTTTATCCACAACTCTTATCTTGTTTCTCCTATCTAAAGAAACCAGTGTAAGGAAAAAGATGCAAGAGATCAGCTATCTTTATATAGGGATTATACACTGTGTGTGTGTGTGTGTGTGTGTGTGTGTGTGTATATACATGTATGTATATATGGAGAGAGAGAGAGAGCATTTGTTAATTTATTTCATTTAATTATTATTATTACATATTATATATTTTATAAATATATATAATTATTTTGTGTTTATTATTATTTGTGTATTATTACAAAGAGAGAGAGAGA